ATAAGTTGATGCCACTTGCATTTTCTGGTTAAGCTTTTTACTGAAATAAGCTATGGGTTTCCCCTCTTGCAATAGCACGGCTCCAACTCCAAAATTAGATGCATCAGATTCGATTACAAATGGCAAGGAAAAATCTGGAAGCCGGAGTACAGGTGTCTCGGACATAGCACTCTTCAAGGCTAAAAAAGCATCTTCCATCTCAGGTGACCATTGAAATGAGTCACATTTGAGGAGATCCGTCAATGGAGTAGCCAAGGTGGCATATTGCCTAACAAAACGTCTATAATATCCTGTTAGGCCCAAGAATCCCCTTAGCTGTTTCAATGTTTTGGGAACTGGCCATTGAAGCATGGCAGAAATTTTTCTTGGATCCGCCTTAACTCCAGCACCCGAAACTAAGTGGCCCAAATACTCTATTTCAGAAACACCAAAGGCACACTTACTCATCTTTACATAAAACTCATTCTGCAGAAGACACTGTAGTGCAGTCCTCAAATGAACAACATGATCCTTCATAGATGCACTGTACACAAGGATGTCATCAAAGAATACAATCACAAATTTGCGAAGGTAAGCCTTGAACATGTGATTCATGACAGCTTGGAATGTGGAAGGTGCATTAGTTAAGCCGAATGGCATAACCAAAAATTCGTAGTGACCCTCATGGGTCCGAAAGGCTGTCTTGAATATATCATCTGGGCTCATCCGGATTTGATGGTAACCACTACGTAAATCCAGCTTTGTGAACACCCTAGCCCCATGCAATTCATCCAACAATTCATCGATGGTAGGAAATGGAAAGCGATCTTTTACTGTAATGTGGTTGAGCTGCCTATAGTCAATGCACATGCGCCAAGTGCCATCTTGCTTCTTGACTAGCAGCACTGGAGAAGAGAATGGACTTCTGCTTTCGCGAATGTAACCTGAAGATAATAGCTCAGCCACCTGTTTCTCAATTTCTGTCTTCTGATGGTAGGCATACCTGTATGGTCGGACTGATACTGATTTAGCACCATCTTCCAAATGAATTGAGTGATTGCAGCCTCTAAATGGAGGCAGCTCATGAGGAATCTTGAAGACTGCCTCAAAAGCAACTAAAACCTCCCACAATTCTGGGCACACCTTTTGTTTCATCACTTCAACTTCTGAATTTTGCTGTTGCTGTTTTCCCGAATGAAACATCAAATTCGGATGTTGATTGGGAACATAATCCCCCTTTAACACAACCAACTTATCGCACCACTCAAACTCCATTGTCAACCTACTATAATCATGTATCACCCTACCCAACCTGGCCAGCCACATAATACCCAGAATTATTCCCAGGTCATGAAGATCAACCACCCATAAGTCAACCGTAAACTGGTGACCTTGAATCATGAGTTTAACATCCAAACATTTCTTGTCAGACAACAAAAACTCTCCATTTCCCAAGTACACTCTCATTCTATTTGTTCTGGACATGGATAAACCACAATTTTCAGCTAACTCCCTATTGATAAAATTGTGAGAGCTACCTGAATCAATCAAAACAGGAATTGTTGTGCCTTTGAATGGAATAGAAAACCGCAGGGCCCTTGGATTGGCATCCCCCACCATTGAGTGTAAAGCTGCATCAATCATCTCCACATTCTTGGTTTCTGGTTGCCAAACAATTTGCTCCCCTGGTTGATCCTCCAAATCGTCCTCCTCCCCAATCAACAGTAACATTTTCCCTTGGCACTTATGACGCATATTCCACTTCTCATTACAGTGATAGCACAAACCCAACTCTCTTCGTTTTTGAAGATATTCATGGGACAACTTCTTCATCTGAGGAAGATTAGAAGCAGGTAATGCTGGTACAGAATTTATGGGCTTGGCTGGAACCCCTGAAGGTGATGGAAGCAATTTAGTATCCCCCACCGTCGGTCGTGCAGAGAACGGCTTAGGAGTTGCAGAAAACGAAGTGCGAAGCTCCAGATGGTGAGCCTCATATGCCACTGCCAGTTGCATGGCTTGATGCAGAGAAGTGGGGTTATGAAATTGAATAGCACGCCTCAAATCAGCATGCAATCCAGAAATAAAAAAACTAGCAAGAACCTCATCTGAAAATTCGGTCACCTGATTGATTAATGCTTCAAAGTCCCGAATATATTCCCACAACGCCCCTGTTTGTGTAAGTTTAGAAAGAACCCCCTTGAGGTCCATGTAAGATTCAACACCGAATCGTTGACACAAGGCAGTCTTAAAGTCCGTCCAGGACTTCAAGGATCCTCCTTTGTAAAGCCACTGATACCACGGTGAGGCCGCCCCTTCCATTTTGAGTCCTGCCAACCGAACCTTATACTCTTCCGGTACATGTTGCAGATCATATAACATCTCTGTTTTAAAGATCCACCCTCGTGGGTCCACAACGTGAAATGCCGGAAACTCCATGCGAACAAATTTGAAGAAGGAGCGTGGGTCGTTGTGGTCAACCCTAACAATTCCTTTCCCATTGTTGTTGGTCAAATCCTCAGGTGTATCTGACGAATGTGGATCCTTCTGTATGCGTGGCTCACTCGAAGAAGGAGATTGATCCTTCGGCAACCCTGGGTCACGAACACGACCTTCCAATCCCAACAAAACCGCATGAATCTGTTGCAATTGATTGTTGAAAGCAGCGATTTGCACTTGATTGTCATCTAACCTTTGCTTCATACGCGCTTGGAAAGCCCCAAACTCTTCTGCAAGATCTTGCACCCGCATGGTGGAAGTTCTCGGAGAAGCCAGTGAAACACCAATGATAGAGCGTGGCTCTAAGAAGGAAGAAGGAGTAACAAGGAAAGAACCGATTTATTATTCAATGACTATCTCAGTTACAATCAGCTAAGTATATACTGTTACAATTGTAACTAACTAGGAATTCATCCTACAGATTCTACAAGGCCCACAACATTGACCCATACTATACAGAACTATGCATAGAAGTCTGAGGCCCAAATGGGGGCACTCTTCAATCTCTTTGCCCTGTCACTAACCGTATCATCCATCCTACAATAAAGAGTCAAAATAGATATCGATGTAATGGCATCAACATAATATTTGTACATTGATTTTTCCCCTTTAAGCAACTGCGTTTGACTCCGTCGTTGCACGTGTAACGACTCCTATTATCCACATAATGGATGATTAAGTTTCTTAAGAAATAATCTGCGAATAACTGGTCGGTATGGAAATTCAAGATTTTTTTTTTTTTTTTTTAATTTTTTTGATGAAAAAGTTTATAGTGATCTGTCTATTTAATATAGCAACTAACTGATATCAACGAAAAGTAAAAATTTATAATGACATTACTAATGCCTATTAATTTTAATGTAACGATAGCCTAAATTAGGTAGAAATCATATTTAGCGAGACATATTTAAAATTAGTACGTAGAAAACATAATATATTTTTCCTTTGACTCCAAAAGTCGTTTGGACACCATATTACAAATTATATACACGGGAAAAAAATGTTTGTTATTTTAAATGACATGAGTTGTATCATTTCACTCTTATAAAGAGATGAGAATATTTCAAAATTTTTTTGTCCACTCTCTCTCCTCATGATCTATCTCTTTCTCTCACTTAAATTGACACAACTTTACATTATTTAAAATGACAATTATACATATATATATATATATGGGGAGGGATCATTTGACTCCAGAGTAAGATTTAAAAGTCTTACTCCTCATCCCAGCCATTGATTTCCGTTCATCCAACGGTTATCATTTATTTGAAATTAATAATTAATTAATGCATTAAATTACTAAATGATAACCGTTGGATGAACGGAAATCAAGGGCTGGGATGAAGAGTAAGACTTTTAAATCTTACTCTGGAGTCAAATGATCCCTCCCCTATATATATATATATATGGATTTGGTATTTGTCATTTTAAATGACATAAATTATGTCATTTTAAGAGAGAAATAGAACAAGGAATGAAAATCATGACAGAGAAAATGAGTGATTTTTTTTTTAAATTTAAATTTTAAATAAAAATAGTTTTTTGTATCTATTTCTCTTTTAAAATGCAATAATTAAACACTTTTCTCCATTTATATATATATATGGAGAAGAATCCGTTTACAAACTTTTTACAAATTTTTGCAAATTACACTATGTACTCTCGGGAGAACATAATGTAACATAGTGTTCTCTCGGAGTACACAGTTTAGTTTGTAAGAGTTTATAAACAACAAGTTTGTAAATATAACTTTCCCCTATATATATATATATATATATATATATATATATATATATATATATGAGAAGAATATGTATCATTTTAAAGGATGTAAAGTTGTGTTAAGTGAGAGAAAGAGATAAATAAATGAGGAGAGAGAATGGACAAAAAAATATAAATGTGTGGGTTCTATCTTGTGTGAGAGAAAAGATATAAGTTGTGTCATTTAAAAAAGACAAACAATTTTTCATACATACATACATACATACATACATACATATATATATGAGAAAAGCATCTATCCTTTTAAAGGATATAAGTTTATATCCTTTTAGATCCTAACCGTTGATTTCCATCCATCAACGGTTATAATCTATTGGCCAAACTTAATAGGCCAAGTTTATTATTAATTAATTAATAATTTTAATTCAATAAATTATAACCGTTGATGGACAGAAATCAACGGTTAGGATCTAAAAGGATATAAGTTTATATCTTTTAAAGGATAGATGTTATTCCCTATATATATATATATATATATATATATATATATATATATATATATTTATAGGGTTTAAATTATCTCATTTTATAGAAGATAATTATCTCATGTTAGTGAGATATAAAAAGTTGTGCTATTCTTTTTTTATTTTTTTTTATTTTTAAAAAATGGTGGGACCCACATAACTTGTTTCTATGCATGAGGTAAGTTATCTTCTATTGAAGGAGATTAATAAATCCCATATTTATATATATATATATATAATTCACTATTTTGTTTCCTATATCCCTTTGTTGCGGTGTTATGCCATGTTTGTGCTAACCAGAAATAAGAGAAGCAGAGATGGTGACAGTGGAGACGAAGAAGATGAAGAGAAACCATTCATAAAAGTGGCTGCTATTTGCGGCTCTTTGCGTAAAGCTTCCTACAACAGAGGCCTCATCCGTGCTGGTAAGTGCTTTTCTTATTCTGAAAATACATTTATATTGGGGTTGTGATTAGATGAGGTGGGATGCAGCGATGGAGCTCGCCAAGGAACAAATCGAGGGCGTCCACGTGGAGTACATCGAGATATCAGCGTTGCCGATGATGAATACGGATCTTGAAGTGGGTGGTACATATCCGGCGGAAGTGGAAGCTTTCCGGCAGAAGGTTCTGGAAGCTGATTCCTGCCTCTTTGCTTCTCCTGATTACAACTACTCCATCACTCGTAATCTTCTTTTACTTTAATTTCACTTGTTTATTTATAATCGCATGTTTAATTAGCAAGTTTAATTAGTAGAAATTGTGCTTCCTGTCAACGGTTTTGATAAGAAAAAAAGAAAAGAAAAAACCCAGATAATTTGTGTAGTCTGTGGTCAAACAAGTAACAAACATATGATATATGTTTTAGTTTTTCTTTTTTTAAACTCTTTTTGTTTGATTTATATGGTTTGAAAATGATAATGCTTTACTTTTTCTTTTCGGTACGAATGTAATTGTGTTGGTTTACACTTTATTTGGATTTAAATAGGTATAAAAAACCTGACTTGTTAACCTGTGCTAGGTTAAATTATATGCTCGAATTAATTTATATTTAAATATAAAAAGTTTTTTTGTTTTTTCGTACACAAATAATAAAAAGTTTGACTTAGGCCTATGAATCTATTTAAATATATCAAACCTAGAATTAATACATATATAAAAAACTATTTTTATTAATTGCAATTATTAAATTTTTATTTTATTTTATTTTTTATTAAAATAAATAATAATTTGTTTTTTGGATAAACTATGGGTATCCTCCATAAAAGGCAATCCTTTTCGAGTGGGGAATATCCATATTATGGTGAGATTAGCTATTTTTTGCATTCACAGGGACTTGAATCTAAGATCTTACTTAAGAAGAATCAAACATGTACCACTTGAACCAACTCTCTTTAATATTCTGTTTAATTAAATATACTAGGATAGGGTCAGACCGAACCGTAGGCCCATAATAGGTTATTTAACTCATTTACACCCTTACTTTTGGGTGATTTTGAATTTTATTTCAGGACTTTTGAAATTGAAGGAAATTTTCGGTTGTATCGTTTAATATATGTTGCATTAAGTATGAGAGTAATTAGGGTAACTATATTTTTAATACTATAGATAAGGTGATATACATTAAATGATATAGAATAAGAATTTTTTTATTGCAAGTTTCTTTAACTTTCACTCTGTGTAACAATAGCACCTTTGAAGAATGCATTAGACTGGGGATCAAGACCTCCTAATGTGTGGGCTGGGAAAACTGCTGCAGCTGTAAGTGCTGTTGGCGGTGGGAGAAGAGCACAGCTTCATCTCCGTCAAATTGGAGTATTTCTTGATCTTCATTTCATCAACAAACCAGAATTCTACCTTAATGCACACCGGCCACCGGGAAAGTTCAACAGCAACGGTGACTTGGTTGATTCAGAGACAAAAGAGAAGCTTAAAGAAATGATTCTTTCCTTACAAGTATTCACGTTGAGACTTCAAGGCAAATGCTGAATTGTTTTGGGTAACACAAAATAAGAACTAGTACTGGAACAATTTGATTCCTTTTCTTGTGATTAGGACCTGTGTTTCAAAATAATTAAGATTAGGACTCCTGTGGAAATGTATGTTATGGGCATAATATTTTTAATTTATACAGTGTATATTATATTTAATATTCAATAATTTAACAAAAAGATAAAACTAAACTTATAATAACCATCAATTTTGCAAAGAAACATAAGATATCACAAATGTTTATATTAAACTCAATAAAATTATAATCGTAATCCAACAAATCTAATAGTTGGAACTCAAAATGCAATGCAATGTAACCTTTGAACCTTTTTTGAGTCTTTGCAACGAGTATTGGAGTGTCGAGAAGTATCGGAGTGTCGAGAATGACACGTTAGGAATTTTGAAGTGTCGGTGCTTCATAGTTTATTACTACCTACTTCAACTGTATAAAATGTGGTTAAACTCACTTTATCTGACAAATTTAATTTCAATACTGACAGTTGATTTTTTTTTATTTGATCATAAATCCTTAAGCCATTTTTGTAAACCAAAAAGATAATATGTTTTTGCAATGCGAACATAGCTCCGGGGTTGGGATTGTGTGACAAATATAAATTCCATCCCAGCCCGCTCGACTTTGGGCCCATTCTCTCTTGCTTGCTGCTTTCTTTTTATTAAACATGCTCGGTGGTTTCTACACTACACTTTATGGAATTGGACACCATTATTGATTTTATGCAATTATTGCCAAACATTTTGATAAAACAATACCATTATTGTTCTGGAACCAACTCACGAGTTCTATATTATTTACTAATAACCACTTAGTAACATATTAGGATGAAGCTAATATTCTAGAAATCAAGAGACAAGGTCTATCACTGTTAGCTTTGAATCATGTATATTTTAATGGTTTAGTTTCTGATTTATTTGGGCTGAATGAAGTGTGCTATGCAGGTATTTGGGCCAAAAAGAAAAATAATATGGCCTAATTTGGAAAAAGATAAAAGGAGGGAAGTCAATGTAATTTTACTCATAAATTTCATTACCCAATGCTTGCAAATATTAAAATGAGATCACGTGATCAAGTTAATGAAAGCAAGGGACAAATTTGGACCATTGGATGAACAAAAAGATGGACGACTACTAGCTTTTGGATTTTTTTAGTTATTAGTTGTTTTGTGGGTTCTAAAAAAGAAGACCATATTGAAGTTTTTAGTTCATGTTATGCTTGTAAAAAAAATAGCCTTATGAGAAGTAGATTTCTTTTGAATGTTCTTGAAATACTCTTTTGTAAGCTGGTTGTGAAGTTTCGAAGTTCTTGACTTTGAAGAGCATTGACAATGCGTCTTCTAGGTAAGGATCTAAATACAAGCTCAGCTTTTCCTTAATTTTGCAAGTTCTTCCTAGCTTTAGTTTAGGAATTTCGAGTTGCTTAAATACTGGTATGTAAACTTTCACTTTGAGTTCTCTTTTCTGAATATTTGGTAATGCATGTTGCTTTTAGTTCAAATTTTGCAATTTTCGTTTGTTAATATGGGTTTCTAAATTCTTTTTCTGGGATTCAAGATGAATGAATGATTCTTTTATTTTTTCTGAACACTGAGATGTTTTCTTTAGTTTTATTTGATTAGCAAGTTTTCAATTTCAAGTCCAAGAAAACCATGGGAATGGGTCTTGGATCAATTTAACATAATTGTGATTGGGAAATTAGGTTATGTTCTTTTGCTGATTAAACGCTTGAGGTTAGTGATAATCCAAGGAGTTATTTGATATAATTCTTGAAGATTTAGAAAACCTTGGGAAAGGACCCTTCTGAGGAACAGACTTGGAATTGGGAAATTCCAGTGAAATAGCCATATTAAGTCAAATTCTGAGATTAAAGTGCCATAGCAGTGCGAAGATGCAGTAATGCATAAATTCTAGAACATCCATGATTCAAGAATCCTAGATACTTCAAATTTGTATTCATCCTTTTATCACTATTGTTAATCAGTTCTGAATATTAACCAAGTTTATAATTTTTTAGTTTGAAATTTAATAGTGTACAAGTTCAAGAAATAAAAATAAAAAATAAAGAGAAATTAATTCAACCATTCCCAGAGAACGATTCTAAACATCTGATCTATACTATCCAACAAAATGGCGTTGTTGCCGGGGAATGATGCTTGAATTAGTTTTCCGTTTAAAGTTCTGTTTTGTAATTCTTAGAATTGTGTTCTTTTTTTTCTTTTTCTTTTTTTTTAGTTTTTTAGTTTTCTTATAACTCAGATTTCTTTTTCTCCTGCAAAAAAAGAAATTATATTGCATAATTCTATTCTTATTCCAAAGGGCACCAGTGGAAGGCATTAGTTGCTGGTTGCTATTACAAGATGGTAGATGATAATAGTTCCATCCATGGTCACAACGAAAATGGGGATGGAAATGGCAATAATGCATTGACGATAGTGGATGAGGATCTACCCATCATGGAATATGTTATTCCTTCTCTCGTTGGAGTCATTCTAGGGATAGTTCAACTGGGTGAGGAAGCAAATTTCGATCTAAAACCTAGCATGGTGCAGCTCCTTCAATCAATGACACAATATCATGGATTGCCAAACGAAGATCCTCACAAGCATATCACCAAGTTTATGAAACTCTCAGATACATTTTCTGTACATAGGGTATCTAATGAGGCTATGCAAATGAAGCTTTTTTCGTATTCTCTAGCCGGAGGCAAAAGAATGGATTGAAGATCTACCATCTCAGTCCATATCGACTTGGAAAGAGTTGGGAGAAGCCTTTCTCATGAGGTTTTTCCCACCAACCAAGGTTTGTGATCTGTGAGATAACATCACAGGCTTTAGACAATATGCTGATGAGTCAATGCATGAAGCCTGGACCAGATACAAAGGAATGATCAGAAAATGTCCCACACATGTCTACCAAATTGGGCTATAATTGAAATTTTTTATAGGGGATTAAGTATGCAAGGCAAAACCCACTTGGACTCGATTGTTAATGGTGCATTTTTACTTAAGAAATACATGGAGGCTTTCAATACACTTGAGAGAATCAGTATAAACAGTTGCCAATGGTCTGATAGCAGAGAGGAACTACCCAAAAGGCTGCTAGAATTTATGAGGTGAGTGAATCAACCTCAATGGTAGCTGAAATGACAGCTTTGCATAACACAGTGAAAAATTTGGTCAAGACAATGGCAGAAACCAAACAACCAGCACCTGCTTAAGTAGCCGTTGCAGCACCTATTTGTTCACTTTGCTATGTCATCTATTTGAGGAATGCCCAAGTAATCCCTCTTCAGCCTTCTATGTTGGAAATTTCAATAGAAATTAAAACAACCGCAACAATTACAATCAAAACAAGTGGCAAAATCAAGGTGGAAATTATGGTCAGAATCAAGGCCAAAATTACCAACAAAGTACTGGAAATAGGAATCAACAGCAGCTATACCAAGGTGGACAGTAGCTATACCAACCAAAGATTCTATTTCCATTCGGTTTCAACAATACTCCTCCTCAAGACCAGCAGAGACAACCTACTATAGAAGTTCAACCTCCAAATGACTAGTGGATGAATAGGATGCTACAAAATCATGAAACTATGCTTCAAAGTCATGAAGCTATCTTGAAGAGCCTTAAAACACAAGTGAGGAAAATTGCTTCCACCCTTAGTAGTAGGCTTTGGGGACACTACAAGTGATACAAAAGTACCTAAAAGGGATGGAAAGGAAGTGTGCAAGGCTCTCCACTTGAGAAATGGTAGAGAGGTGGATCAGCCTGAACGAGTTATAAGGCCCTTCACTTTGAGAAAACTAATGGAGAAGGAAAATCAGCAAATGGAAGAAGCACCTTCAGCCACACCTATAACAAATGAAGAGCCTTATTAAGATAATGAAAGGGAGGAAGTCATCTTTGCCAATTCAGAAAAATCAGCGCCTAAGTCAAGGGGGGCAGACACTGCCTTTGCATAAAAATAAGGCTATTCAACCACAATCAAAAGCCAAACAAATTCCTTTTCCTCAAAGACTCAAGAAGCAAAATAAGGAGCAACACTTCAAGAGGTTCTTGGACATTCTAAAGCAACTTCAAATTAACATTCCCTTCGTAGAAGCACTACAACACATGCCAAGCTACATAAAGTTCTTGAAATACATCTTATCAAGGAAGAGAAGGATTGAAGAATATAAAATATTTGCTTTAACCAAGGAGTGAAACAACTAGCTCTCCACAAAAGTACCTCCTAAAATGGAGGATCCAGGTTCCTTTACTATTCCATGTGTTATTAGATATAGGTATATTGGTAGAGCTTTGTGTGATTTAGGTTCTAGCATCAATTTAATGCCTGCTTCAATTTTTAAACAGCTTGGAATAAAAGCCCACATTAATCCTCCAACTAGCTGATAGATCTATAGTTTACCCTGAAGAAAAAGTAGAAAATATTTTGGTAAAAGTTGACAAATTTATTTTTCCAACAAACTTCATAATTTTAGATTGTGAAGTTGATGAAAATATACCTATCATAGTAAGTAGACCATTTTTTGCTACAGGGGGTGCAATTATAGATGTTAAAAAAGAAGAATTAACAATGAGAGTAAATGAGGAAACCGTGACTTTTAATGTTTTTAAGGCCAATAAATTTGTGGATGATGATGTTGATGACTGCTCTGCAATTACTATTTTGGATGACTTGGTTGCTGACATGCGCATATAAATATTGAAAATAGTGAGTCAGGTCTAGACATGTTTGAAGCTGATGATGAAGAGTATGATGAAATAGAACATGGTTATGCCTTAGTGTGCTATGCTCCCAAAAATTTTTGGTGACAAGCATTTTGAGTCTTTAAGATTGCATGAGAGAACCACCAAGCCTCTTAAACCATCTATAGTGAAACCACCTAAGTTGGAGTTGAAAGAACTCCCAAACCACCTAAAATATGCTTTTCTAGGAAAAGAAAACACCTTTCCAGTTATTGTAACCTCTACGTTAAATAAAAAAGAGGAAGACCAGCTGCTTAGTGTGCTTAAAAATCATAAGAAAGCCATAGGTTGGATCATGGCTGGCATTAAGGGAATTAGTCCTTCATTTTCTATGCACAAAATAAGGCTAATAGATGAGAATAACAACTCCATAGAGCCTCAAA